TTGCGATTTCGATACGCTTCAGTGTCGCCGGATCTGAAATATCCTGACGGTCCAAGGATTCTTTCAAAGTTTCAAATTGTTTTGGGAACGACGCTTCAGCTTTGTTTCCATTCTTAGATTTGCCACCTTCGTGTCCATTAACGTTGAAAATGACGAGCTACGTAGGAAAAAAATGATTATTAACTGAGTTGAAAATTTGACAAACTTTCTAAAGACCTTACCCCAAAAACCATGAACCCGATCAAAAATGACACGAACAATTTTGGATTGAACATTTTTTTTTTAGTCTTTTTTCCTTTGAAATATTCGAAGTTGTGTCGAAAGTTTAGACGTTAGAGAGTAACTGAACCAATTAGTTTATTTCATATAGAAAAGCTGCGGTTTATATACACTTAAATACGCATAAACAATTCAAAAGAATTTGCAAAAGTATTTTTTTATCACATTCTTTATTTATGGCAGAATAATATATTTGAGAATATCAAGGATTGTCTGTTTTCAAATTCGACGCTCGAATTGTAATTTTGAGGGAATAACAAGTTTTTTTTTTCTTTTTTATCAAAAATTCCATTTTTCGTTGCGTAAAAAGTTTAAATAGCAAATACTACACTTTTTAAGTTATTGTTGTTGTTGAACCTATTAGGTCCTATTAAAAGGCTATTTTTAAACCGTACTTCATATCAATCCACAATATTATTGTGTTTCTTCTTAAAATTACTTGTTAGCTTGATATGAAAACTCTATTTTTCTTGCATTTTAGTTTCTGTGCTATTTTTTCGCCTAAAGTTTCATTTTGATAATTTTCATTACATTGAGAAGCATGTGCAAATATGGTTTTATTCGATAAGACAATTACGTAATTTCTAGACCAGATGATATAAAATTTCCATTATATTTTGACACGTTTCAGATGGAATTTTGTTTGCACGTTTTGAATATGTGTAAACGCACAAACCTGCTTAATCATTAAGCCTTAATGAAAATTACCAAATTGGTTGCCATCCAAAAAAACCAGTGAAGTGAACCAAAACCAATCCATTTCATTGGTTTCACTTACCGAACGAACTGGAGCAAGCGGAACGTTCCGAAAATGGTTTACACTGTGCAGTATACATACGACCGTACAACGGCTGTGTGTATATTAGTGTGCATTGCTATTCACGTACACATACTTCACCATACAAACCACTCTCGGAACGTTCCGCTTGCTCCGTTTCGTTCACACAAAACGAAACCGGTTCACTTCACTGAAAAAAAACAATATGTTTGCGTAAACCTAAGCAACAGATGGATTTTGAAATAAAAGAATGGTTGGAAATTTCCATCGAATTTCTTATA